ATATGGGTAGATCTGAACCATTATTTGTGCTCTCTTTTCTGCTATTTTTATACCTTTTATACTCACAATAATCTACTCGTCTTTTGCCTGTCTGCTTACCTTCAATGCTTTCTTTTACTTGGAAACTTCTCTGACTAATAGAGTCAAAAAAGCCAGGTCTAGGTGAGGACAGTTATTCATTTTTGATCCTTGAATTTTTTTTCTTAGCTCTCTCAATGATTTATTCATGAACAAGTATCATTAGTATATAAACATCATTATCAACTTGTGTCTGTTTATAAGATTAACTCTTAATTATTGAGGGACCAATTAACTAGTCTGAAGGTTATGTGGGCCTCCGGCAGCCTGCCTTTTGGTCACTTCAGTTCCCACAGAACATCACTCAAGGAGTGTGGAAATGACCAAGCAAAACCTGTGAAACAAAGATTGTTTAGTTGTGCTGTTTGTGAACAGCGAAGTCTAATGGAAACTAAAATCATGCACTTCAGTGCACTTTGGGACTATCTAAGGATGGAAATATGCATGATGACTGTCAAAGGGGCTTCCTTTTATACTTTATAAATACTTGCAAATGAGCAGTAAAATGAAGGTATTATGAATACTTAGTAAAATTTAAGAGTGCTGTTTTTCTGGTACTAAAATAAAACCAACAAATTGTTACCAAATGTTTACCCTTCTGTAAAAGAAACTGTTTAGTCATCCGTCTCTAGACAGGAGTTCAGAGATGGAAGGCCCAGATTATTCTGCTGACCTCAGGCCAGGATTTGAAAGTATTTCACATTTATTCAACATTAATTGTAACTGACCTTGGATATCACTGAGGAAACTACAAATAGATCTAGACTGTTGGGGAAACACAAAGGTTGGTTTGGCATAATGTTTACTTTCCATTTCCTTATATTGGCTTGAGGAATAAACTGTTTTAAGTGATAGGTCAGTGTTCCTAAGATGTATGCGAACTAGGCGTATTTATTTAAGGCATAGTTTTTCATTGAATTGCATTATTCAAAGGTGCTTCAGAATCCTTTAAGACCAACCAATATATGGTGGCTCCTAAACTTTTACCTTTACAGGATTCCAACTGCTATCACCCCATTTTTAGTCAGTGTATAGTGATTGCTCTATAAATAAATGCTTAAGAATTCTAATTTTAATAACTAAAAGAACATTTCAGTGACTATCTTAGTATTGGTTTATAAAGCCAAATGTGTTCACCTTGTTGAATCTTGCCACAAATATTTAATTCATGTCAATAGATTTATATATAATTGGTGCTTTACTCCAGAAATTGATGGTATATTTTATTATTGGGATCCTCTAGTCCCGGGGTCAGTGAACTTTTTTTGTGAATGATTTGATAATAATTATTTTAGGCTGAATGGATCAAGAGGCACATTTTTTGTGTGTTACTAAATATTATTTTTAAAAAATTTTTTTAGTTATTCAAAACAGTAAAACCCATTCTTAGGCTGCTGGCCATATAAAAACAGGAGTTGGCTTAGGGGCTCTAGTTTGCAGATCTTTACTCTAGAATGCAAGATTTCAACAGTAAGTAATCCATAACCCTGCATGAGAGGTACATATTATGGGTCCTTGAACTTCCTGAGATCACATGCAACATTTTGTGCATACATAATTTTTTTTATGTGGACAGGGTCTGCAGCCTTCATCTGACTCTCAGAAAAGTCCTAGACTCAAAAAAGACCAGGAGCTACTATTCTTGAGACAGTTTATTAATTTTTAGCACTCTGGGAGTCACTGGAAATGCATTGGAATTCTTACTGTAGTACCTAATACTGCTAGAGACACTGAGGGCAAATAATTGTCAGGTGATCTTCTTCATGAAGCCCATTGTCACTACCATTTTTGTTGATTTTACAAGACTCAGAAAAATGAAAATCCACACCTCTGATTATGGGAGGAAAACCCTTCTCATATTTTTAAGTATTTAGTAAAAATGTAGGTTTGGATTTAAATATCTGGCACATATTTAAGTGTCCAGGCTATTTCAGGCTGTAAACAGAAATCAGATTCAATGTATTAAAAACATTTTTCTTTAAAATAAAGATTAACCCACAGATAGGTTTGTGTTAGCTCAACTGACATCAAGGGCTGAGATATAGGTAGAGGCAGGATTAAAGTTGTTTATTAAAGCTTAGCTTGTGAGTTTGCAGGCTGCTTGACTTCACCCATGGCTGTTAGTCAAAGCTAAGCCTTTGAATGTTCAAATTCATGAAATGGAGTAGTTACCCTGGGGCAGAGGTGGTGGTGAGGAAACAGAAATGTCCAATTGAAAATAAATAACAAGCTCAGGAGTTCCTGCCTCTGCCCCAAGGTTGAGAATGGAAGAACTTGCTTCTTCTAAATAAAGTGTTATAGAATGGGATTTATACTCAAGGAGGAAACGCTTATAAAAGCTACATTACTGACTTTAAAATCTAAAAGTAACACAGTATCGTTTGTGGTGAAACCTTAAATCTAAATATTTTTAGCAATAATTTTCTATATTGACTAATAATTGATTTATAGCTTTTTCATATACTTGGAGCATATAACAAACCCAGGAAGGTTAAAATGTATTCCAAAGAAAACAATTTAACCAGGAAAATTTCCCTGGTGAATCACTCCAAAACAGGAAAGAAAAAAATTTACAGAATTTCAGAGCTATTGTAAATAGACAGCATTGCTTATATGTACATAAGACTTAAATAATATTACTTGCTTGGTATTTGTTAGTGATTAATGATTTTTTAAAAATTTATCTTATTATAGCGATCTGGGGGACAAGTAAAAATTAACTACACAAGTAGGCTGCGTGCAGGGGAGGTTTGGGACTCCAATTGGCTCTCACTTCCCCCAGTGATTAATGATTTTTTAATCTGGAAAATTCATTCACCTCCAGGTTTTTCTTTCAGTTCTTTAATTAATAGATGTAATCAATGGTCTTTTTCAGTTCTGTAAAAAGCAAAAGCAAAAAGTATCCAGGAGAATGGGATGGTGATTTCAGTGAGAAATTTACCAGGAAAGTCAGAGAAAACAAAAAGTAAAGCAGAGAGCATTGTTATATGGGTCAAAAATGTAGTTTTTACCATCTGAGATTCTTGCTGATTTTGAGACACCTGTGAATCATTAAATTGATAATGCCTGCCTTATTGCTGAAACATGCCTTGGTGACTGTTTCCAAGAGAGTTCCTTCTCATTATATAAAATAAATTCATATAAGCGAATTCCTGAGCATCACATCTCATTTGATGAGAAGTAGCCCATATCCCTGTAGCTTCTTATATCACATTACCTAGCTGGGCTGGGTCAGCCCTTGGCTATTTACTCCAAGCCTCAAAGCTCCTCCCCTGACCACTCCATTATCTTTCCTGACACTTGTGTTGTCCCTTTCTTTTTAAGGTTCTTGGCCACCATGCCTTCTATACTCACCTTAGTGAGTATTGCCAGTTCTCTGGGGCAAGATTCTTTTTGCCCTTCCAATGTACCAATCAGTTAATTTGACAAATTCATCCGAAATATAGTGCTAATGAGGGAGTGCTTCCTTCCAAGTGGAATGTGGTTTACAGCACTGGCTTCTTGGAAAACTGCTGGTGACAATTTCAAGTGGGGGCAATGAGTATATAGTTCCCCTCACTTTGTACTCCACAACTTGTATTTAGAGCTGTTCCTATTCATGTGATTTAGCAGGTAGGAGCACAGCTTAACAAGGCAATAGATTTTTTATGTTTTAGTGAAACAAAGTTTCAAGAGCAAGAAAGAACACATGATGAGTAATATACAGTGAGACACCACCAATTACACCATAACTACCTTATAGAGTCCCTATTAGAAATGTACTACATTTAGTCATGATTTATGTCACTCATTTAACTGTTAAAATTTATTTTTAAAATTTATCATTAATTATCTGTCAATCAGTCATTCACTAAGTATTGGGTACTATAGAGGAGATAAGAGAACTATCAAAGAGAGTATAACCACACTGAGAAGAAAAGATGTTCACATGTGGAACAAACTGGAAAGCAGCAAAGTGATAAATTATGTGGTTACATATAATAAGGGCAATACACATATTCAACTATTTGAGTACAGGACTTTAGAAAACAGAAAAAGCAGTCTTAGCCCTTTACATTTCTGAGGCTTTTCTTTACAAGCTATGCTGTAGCTTATGTGCCATATAATCCTGTTATCTTATCTCTTCCTGCTTAACAGGAATCCTTGTAGCATTTCTAGGGCCTTCTTTTGAACTGTAAGTATCATTTGGCCCCCTAGATAAAGACAAAGCTAGGCAAGTCAGATTAGTTTGTGAAACAGGACCACTAATTTAGAAAATAACAAAATTTATGTTTATTTTGATGCTCATATCAATCACAATTTAGGTCAGTGGCAAGAAGTTGTTAAAGCGCTCACTTTTTCTTATGTATCCCTTTGTTCCTCACCTCCTTGCTGTTTTCCATTAATTGTCAGCGGGCCAAGAGAAGAGCAAGCCAGTGTTTGGTAGTACAGGTAGGACCCGTAGTAGGACACATAGGCTTAGAACCAAGCAGTACTAAGGGGGAAGAGGAGCGGCAAGGGTGGAAGGAAGGGGGCTTTGGGGAGTACCTGAATTCCTACTGCAAAGGCCAAACCTCTGTAAGGAGACAAGGAAGACCATTCATATATGCAGTATCAGTGGTAACATGGATTTTAGGGAAGAAAAGAAAATGCATTTGGAAAAGACTCTAGCAATGAGATTGAATTTGGCTAAGTTATGACTGTTAAAATGTGGCTTGTTTTATCAGCTTACCAATAAATTTGTTACTTAAAGAGATTGTTTGGTTTAAAAGGCACTTCTATATGAGAATTAGTGTAAGACTAAAAATAAATTAGAGGAAACAATAGTACATTTTGATATGCCTTAGGGAATTCTGACATTTCTGAAAGAATGCCTTCTTAGGTAATGATAGAGAGAATTTGTTTATCTCTAATGCTTTTTTTTTTCTTCTTTAAATATACAGACTTCTTTTCCTGTGACTCCATCTCTTGTAACAAATCCTGCCATGGCTTTCAATCCCTACTTACCTCATCCTGGGATGGGCCTGGTTCCTGCCGAACTTGTACCAAATACACCTGTTCTGATTCCTGGAAACCCACCTCTTGCATTGCCAGGAGCTGCTGGTCCAAAGCCGATGCGTTCAGATAAACTGGAGGTATTTGTGGAGACATATATAAGCATCTGTAGGATAGATATTAACCTTAGGCATAAATATTCTCAGAGCTCAATATGTTGAATGTTTTAAATACATGTACACGAGATGTTTTAGCTATGGAGTATAACCTCAGAAAAATGTTAAACATTTTACTACTGCAATCATGCCCTGTTATGAAGTGCACTGACTCAGTTGTACAGTAGTTTAAACAAAGCTTCAAGTGTGCCCAGCCACAGACCATACCACGGCACAGGAAGTCTTGGTGGGAACGCTCCTTGAACCTAGGCTCCAGCTTTATAGAAAGGGATTACTGTATTTATTGAGTCTGTACTTGCCAGAATAACCAAAGTGAGAAAATGTAGACTTAATGTAATTCTCTATTATGGCAGAATGTAAAGCTACACGTATGCATAATATAAATGACTCTCATAGTGCTAAACCTTTTTATCCATTTTAAGTATGATGTATTAGATAATAAATATCCCTTGATGCTTAAGAAAAGAAAATCTAAAAGAAATGTCAACCAGCTTTTTTATTTATTGAAGTCCTTCAATTTTCCCCTAATTGGCATTCTCTGTACATTGAAATAAATAACTAGTTGCTTCTTTACAAAGACAGCTCCATTTGCAGCCCCTTAAATGCCTGGTAATGTATTGGAATGGAATCTGATTATACATGTAACCTAGTCATGGTTCATAAGTTGACTGTGTAAAGCCACCAGTGCATTGCTGTGTGATAAAGACTCATTTCAGTCCTGGGGAAAAAAACAAACAAACAAACTAATTACGCTTAAGACTGTGTATTAACTAGAAGATTCAAACTCGTTTTCAATAATACTTTTAAGCACTTTTATTTCAATGTAAGGAAAATAGACAACTTTCATTTGGGGAGAATAGAATTTTTTTTCTAGGAATAGAAATTTTGTCTATGTTTACATCTCATAGTGAATATGGCTTTACATTATCCTTTACCTTTTAGATTTTTCCTAAATAATATGTTCAAAATGTATCAATTACTCTTATACTCAATGGCAAAATAAATGAAAGCCAATCGTCTTCCAGACATCAACATGATGTGTGTGTGTATGTGTTTCTCTTTAAGGTTTGCCGAGAATTTCAGCGTGGAAATTGTACCCGTGGGGAGAATGATTGCCGCTATGCTCACCCTACAGATGTTTCCATGATTGAAGTGAGTGATAATACTGTGACGATCTGCATGGATTACATCAGAGGTCGATGCTCCCGGGAAAAATGCAAGTACTTTCATCCTCCTGCACACTTGCAAGCCAAACTCAAGGCAGCTCATCACCAGATGAACCATTCAGCTGCCACCGCCATGGTAAGAACAGGTCTGGACTTGTGGCTTGTTTTAGGGTAAATGATTCATATATTTCTCAATTAGTCTAATATCCTGTAACCATAATCTTTGATAGTCAAGAGTGGACCTCTCAATATGAACAGTCAAGGTTATAAGCTAGAAAAGAAAGAACTTACTTTACTTTATTTACTAAGATTTTCTAAAGCTAATTGTTTAAAAGCTTTACTAATGATTTTAACCTACTGTGCTCTTTCTTCCATTTTCAGAGAAAGGGGAAATGATACGATTTGAACAGTAAATTATTTTTGAGTGCTTTTATAGTCTAACTACCCTCTATATTCTAGAAAGACAGAAAGTTGCCTCTCTACTCTGTGTGCCACTTTCATAGGCACTTTGCTACTAACATCTTTAATGCTTTTCATAAACAGAACACTTGAAAGATAAAATATTAAGTTGGTTCTAATTTTTCAAAGGTTAAGATTTCTTTTTCTTTCTGGAGAACAAGTATTGAGGACAGAGGCAGCAGCCTGCTTAGGTTGAGGGGAAATTTCAACATAATAGGGAGAAAAGATCTCGCTTTTGACTTACCCTAGCAAGTAAGTTTAAGGGAAGTTAGTTTTGCTTAATAACACTGAAAGGTAAGAAGCAGGAAAAATTTGTGTTATACTACAGTGTGATACGTTGAGAACCAGGAATTATGACTACTTCAGTTTGTCACAGCTGTCAATTCTTTTGATGTGCTGCTTGCTATTTATTTCTTTTTCTTTCTGGACCTTTCCTCATGTAATAGAGTGTAACAACCCCAATAAGGGACAAAACTCTGAGAAAACCACATGTTCCCTGGCTATTAAAAAATGACCCTGAAGCCCAGGAGATGAAGTGTGAACTAAATCTCCTCACGGACATTTATAGTTCAGACTTCATGACAGAGACCTTGCCTTTTCACAAGAGAGATACATTTATTTTCAGACATCCTTATCAATATGCTTTTCCTCATACTGAGTTAAAATTGATCTTGTTGCAACTGAAACTTCACAAAGTAAGTCAATCCTTAGCCCATACGAGTGGGACTCAAAAAGACCTGGATTGTATTTATAAAAAATTGTGCTTTTATTCTTACATATTTAAACTTCAGTCACCGTCAAAGTACTCTCCATTTGATGTGATATGCCTATCAAGGCACTCTTTCCACTGCTCTAAACAAGTTTTTGAACTCGTCGATTTTGATGCCTTTTAGTGCTTCTGCTGTTTTTTGTTACTCCTCTTCCACATCAGCAAAACATTTCCTTCTGAGGACTTTTTTTTTTTTTAAATCTGGGGAAACAACAACAAGAAAAAAGCGTAGCTCAGGGTGAGATTGGGTGAATAGAGAGGGTGGGGCATGGGGTCATGCCATTTTTGGTCCAAAACTGTCGAACACTCAGCACCGTGTGGGCAGGTGCATTGTCTTGGTGAAGGAACCACGACTCAGGACATTTCTTCTGCAAGTGGTGACACAACCTTCTCAAAACTTCCAGATAAAAACTTCGGTTGCAGCCGGGCTCGGTGGCTCAGCTTGTAATCCCGTGCCTTTGGGAGGCTGAGGTGAGTGGATTGCCTGAACCCGCGGGTTCGAGACCTGCCTGGGCAGCGAGACCTCATCTCTACAATAAATCAAAAAATCAGCCGGGCGTGGTAGCGCATGCCTGTAATTCCAGCTACTTGGAAGGCTGAGGCGGAAGGATCGCCGGAGCCCAGCAGGCCGAGGCTGCGGTGGCCGGGAGCGGCCACTGCACTCCAGTCTGGGCGACAGAGTGAGACTCCAACTCAAAAAAAAAAAAAAAAAAAACTTCGGTTACTTGAATGTTTGTTATTTATTCTATGTAAATTACCCAGCTTTAGATGGTCCTTTATTTAAATGCAAATGGACTAAGACAGTGCTGTTTCCAAGTAAACTATTTTGCAAACCCTGAACGTTCTATATCACATTGAAGAAAATATAGTTGGAAAAAATTATGAAAATGAATCAATTGAGGTTGTGCTAACCAAATATACCAAATTTATCCCACATTTCCTAGTAGATTATGTCCTCAAGGAAACAATACCAATTTGGGACTGGCTTCACTTTTTTCTTTCAGAACTGAACATGTTACTTCATGAAGGAACTGAGCACTAAAGTAGGACAAACTTACTTTCTCCCTTGATCTACACAACATAATAATCTATTAATGAATGTTAAATGAAGGCTTTACCAAATGCTTTTTGTCTGAAATGCTTTCATAGAGGGAAATTTTAAGCTATGAAAATCCCAAGGCATCCAGAATGTTCAATGCAGAATTTAAGTCGATTTTTGATTATTTATGTTAGTTTCATAGAGTTCAGAAACAGTGTGAGCCTATTAAAGGAGTAGAATTCCTAAAAGTAGAGGTTCTCATACACATGAATGTATGAGGAATGGCCTACTCATGTCATTGTGCACCTGTTCCCACACTTAAGCATGGGGCCTTTCTAAGTATCTGCCAATTTCTGATGATTTGGGGGACTGTGCTTGGTAGAATGCATATGTTACAAGTCAGCCCTAAATTTCGTTTCGAGAGCTAAATAGTATATAGTAGGCCTTTAATTGGTACTTGTGACTATCAATATAAAATTTTCTTTTGAGTAACTAATCAAAGCAGGGTCTTAGTGGTAGGGTCAAATTGTGCCATAGGAATTTGATGGAGGTGAGATTAAATAAAGAAGGGCTTCATGAAGAAGTTTAAGGCTTTTATTTTTAAGGATTCAGAGTGGCAATGCTTTGTAAAAGAGAGATTTTCACCCTGTTCACATGTGTGCGTGCGCACGCACACACACACACACACACACATATATAAGCATATGTATGAAAGCATCATATATATATGATTTCATATATTGAAAGCATCTTCTCTGCATTTAAAAAGTTGAATGGGTGGGCGTGTGGTGGTTAAAGTTTGTAATCCCAGCACTTTAGGAAGCTGAGGCAAAATGATCACTTGAGGCCAGGAGTTCAAGGCCAGCCTGGGCACATAGCAATACCCGGGCTCTACAAACAAACAAAATAGCTGGGTGTGATGGTGCACACCTGTAGTCCTGGCTACTTGAAGGGCTGAGGCAGGAGGATCACTTGAGTTCAAAAGTTCAAAATTACAGTGAGCTATGATTGTGCCACTGCACTTCAGTCTGTGCAACAAAGTGATATCCTATCTCATAAACAATTGTTAAAAAAAAAAGACTTGAAGAAGTTAGTATTTAGTTCATTCACACTTTCATACCTGTTTGGCAAGTTTGTTAGTTTGTGATGAGGCTATTGAAGGTCTGGCCAGTATTAATAACATAAATATGTATTAATAGTACAGGCACCACCCAATCAGAACTGGGCACTGACCCGTTAAGGTAGACCCCAGCAGTAAACAAGCAGTACTACCTTACCAGGGTCTACCAGTTGAATGTCTATCTAGACCTTGTCCCCAATTGTTGTTCACTTGGCAATATAAATTTACCTCTGATGAGTCCAACCATACTTCTGACTTTCTAGAGAAAAAGGATACACTCTAATTATACCAAAGGGAAATCTTAAATAACCAGATAAGTAAGTGTCCTGTCTTATTCAGGTAAAATCTTTAGTGAAACCATTTCCCCCGTCATGGCGAGAAAGGTGTTCAAAATGATAAATTACATTTTACCATTTATGATTTTAGTTGTAACCTTTGCCATATGGTCCTCTAGGATAAATTTGGAAATTTTATCTCTCTGAAGGTACTCAATTTATTTTATTTCACTTTTTAAGCATGGTTTTCTTTATTTAGGTGAAATAAAAAACAGATTTGTGACAATGTGTGCATTGATAGCAGTTTTTAAAAGATAATAGAGCTACCTTGAGGTCTTCATTATCCACAGGAACGAGGTCATGGCATTACCCTTTTGCACATATGGAAGGCTAGTTACTTAGCACCTTGTTCCTGCCTCCTTAAGAATTTGGAGCATACCTAATTGTTGCTGGGACATGTCTTTTAAGTAATGTGCAATTTGCTTAGAAAAAAATGTGTAAAGTAATGCTGAACTTCTCCAAAGAATCTGATCCGCAGGCAGGTTTGACTGAGTATTATAAGCACAGTGGGATTTTGAAAGGACTGTAGACATGAAAGGAAGGTTTAAAAATGCTAATACGTGTTTACAATTAAACTTTATAAGAACATAAGGCAAATGATACACACCAAAGTGCACAGCAAACCTCTATAAATAAGAACTGCATACATTTTGTTAACTATCTATAATACCTGAGTGAGGTAGGTGGTGGGGGAGAAATGATTCATTTGCTTTCTTCTTATATGTTTGTTAGAAAATATACAGTTGTAGGGTTTGAACCTGAAGTCTTTGTATAAATTGGATTTTATTTTATGGGGCTACAGTGTCAGACTCTGATCTACCAACATCTGTTTTATCACCTCTATGCCATTTATCTCCTAGATCCATATAAGAATTTTAACTGGCAGAAATCGCTCTCCTGTTATATCTGTTGCTTCTGCTAATCTTATTTTAATAGATTAATCGATGTGCATCCCTGAGATGTTAATTTTAAGTGATTATTTGTTGTAATAGCTTTCTGTTGCATCCTGCCCAGATGAGGTCTACGTTAGTGAAGTGGAAAGGCTTTTTTTTTTTTTTTAACTTTTTTTGTTGTTTTGGACTAACTACTCATCTAGTGAACTGCTTAATCTCTACAGTTGGTTACCTGGCTACGGGGCCACTGCTTATTCAATGTCTCACTCAATGGATATTTTTACAGAGGATTCCCAGGACATACCTTATATAACTGGTGCTTGCTTGGTTTATATACATTTTTAAAACTGTCTCTGGTACTAGTGATCCCTCCCCAACATCCCTCCCCAACAGGCCCTTCAGCCTGGTGCACTGCAACTGATACCAAAAAGATCGGCACTCGAAAAGACCAATGGCGCCACCCCGGTCTTCAATCCCAGTGTTTTTCACTGCCAACCACCTCTGGCTAACCTGCCACTTGCGCAGCCGACATTTATCCCTGCAGGTGAGAACACAGCTCTGGCGCTGCAGCGAGTTTAGAAATGTTGTCAATGTATACAATGCAAAACAACTTCCAAAGAGCTTTTAGGGAAGGGCTATCAACATGTATTTTAATTAGAAATAAAGCAAGGCAAGGCAGCTATGCTTGATCTGCTAGTATCTAGAGCAACCTGTTTTACTATAATTCCTGAAAATTAATGGTTTGAAATAAAACTATGAAAAGGTATCAACGTTTTTATTTTTAGCATTTCTTTTTTTTTTTTTTTTGCTCCTTATGATTAATTCACTTGGTTCATTCTCAAATTAATTCCTTGATTCTTAGGTATCACTTTCACAGATAGTGGTCTGCTATCAAAACAAAACAAAACAAATCCCACCTTCAATATTACAAAAACCTGTAGTTCATATATCCTTGATATGCCAAAGGTAGTTAAAATAAAACTACCCTTAAAAGTATAGTACAGTATAATGCAGTATAGTATATATCAAACAGATAGCTATAGCCTCTAACTCTTGAAACAGTTAATAGAAAAAAATGGCAGTTTATTATATTTCCTGACATATTTTACGTTACTTTCTACACTCAACTCTATTTAATGGCAAAACTACTTTGCACCAAATTGAATAGAAAATTTTAAGCCACAATTTGTTCAATTAAATATCATATATGGGTGGAAATCATTTTCTTCCAGTGGTTTAGGACTTTAAGAATGAGCATATAATTTCTTAGGAATAAATTGAAAATACTAACCATTGGGAGTAGAATAGAATTTTTGCCTAAAATAATATAAATGGCCCTAGTTTGGAGGCCACTATTAAATAGAGAAATATATGTTTTAAAAATTAATTTAGAAAGCCTTGTTAATTATATAAACATGCTAAACACATAATGTATGCCTGGACTTGAAAAAAAACCATTCATTCATTAATAAATGTATCAGCTAATTTTAAAAGAAGCCACTAAAAACAGTCTTTAGTTACTAACCACAATAGTTTTTTCATGACATCATTTAAATTATACAATTTTTACACATTTATATAATAGATTCTGTGGGGTCAAATGCAATTCTTTGGCACTTTTTAATATTACTTATAAGTATCTACTTATATCTAACAATTTGAACTTTTTCCCCAAACCTAAGGAAAAAAACATAATGTCCACAGAATAAAGAAGAAAAAAAATAATGTCAACAGTATGAGTTGATGTGACTTTATTTCTGGCATTTTTTTTCTTCAAAAATTGTGGCAATTTATCTACATATTAGATGGGTCCAATATGGCTAATTCAAATTTGTCTTATAAGTATGAAATGAATTCAGTAGCCCAGGAAGTCTAGCCAAGGTGGTTGAGTGTAATGAAATTTACATTGGTCATTCTAAGTGTCCTTAATACTACAGTTACTTTGTTTAGAAGTTAGACTTTTTTTTATGGATTTGGCCAATATAAAAACCTAGATTTATAATAAAAAATGCAAGAAAAATTCCCTTCTCATTAATTAACAGTAAAATAAAAACTTGTCTAGATGAAAGCCCCCTTGTAATGGAAAGCCTATGTAGTGTATGTTCACAGTTAAGTCCCCAGTTACAAAGAGGTAAAGAAGACAATGTTAACAGTTTAATACTCTAAATGGAAACATAAAAACCGGACACGAGATCCTGGAACTTATTTTGAAAATAATATGTGTGGTCGAGCGCCGTGGCTCAAGCCTGTAATCCCAGCATTTTGAGAGGCCAAGGTGAGAGAAGGTGAGAGAACTGCCTGAGCCCACGGCTTCAAGACCAGCCTGGGCAACTTGGTGAGACCTCATCTCTACAATAAATCAAAAAAATTAGATGGGCGTGGTAGCGCGCACCTGTAGTTCCGGCTAGTTGGAAGGCTGAGGTGGAAGGATTGCCTGAGCCCAGCAGGTCGACGCTGGGGTGGCCATGAGCATGCTGCTGAACTCCAGCCTGGGCGATGGAGTGAGACTCCAACTCAAAAAAAAAAAAAAGAAAAGAAAAGAATATGTGTAATAAAATTCTCCTTTTTTAATAAATAAAAATTATTTAGAATACATTTGTCTAAAATAAACATGTAATTTTAGTGAGGTAATTTCTTTAAAGAAAAATTAAAGACCACTTTTGTACCTAAGGATCCAGGAATTACTTTGATTACCTGGGTTTGTGATCTTCAAGCTAATCTGCAATTGTAAGCATGGGAGAATACTGGATTTGCATGTGCTGATTAATGGATATTGCAAAGAAAATATCTTTCTAGTTAAAATTTATTTCTATCAGTAAAGCTTTAATAATGAAATATCTCTTTTTCTTTACTTTCCACGCTTTTCTGCATGGTGTACAGGGCCAATACTGTGCATGGCACCCGCTTCAAATTTTGGTAGGTTTTGTACAAAAATTCTCAACTTTTTCTAAACTGAAAAATGTGTTTTTGTGTTGTCACTATAAAAGAGATGAATAACTGAAAGATGTGGCTGGACATTTACCGAGTATTTAAGGTTTAACATGGTGCTTTCAGTTTCATATCTTTGTGGAATCAAAATAGTCCTACTTTCTGAAGTTGGTTGCCACTGTGGCCAAATACTGACCCTGTCATTTCTCTATTTCTACCCTAAAAATAGCAACTAAAATATTTTAAAATGTTTCTTTATCATCCATACTGGACAGTTTTGTTCTTAGCTTTACATCTTTAATTTAAAAATTATAAATTAATTCAAATATCTAATTTGTAAAGTACAATGAAACAATTCATAGCTGAAAAAGTTATCCATATAACCTAAACCATTCAATACTCTGATGCTGAAAAATAATTAGTTAAACAAAGCTAGAGCATTCTGCAGTGTTCTGTGTGAATTCTGTAGTGTTCTGGGCTCAAGTGTCATCTGCACAGAAACTAGGCACCACAGAATAATTTCAAAATGACTCTTTGGGCATTATGTGATTTTGAACAACCAGTTGCATACAGATCATTTATTTAGCCACCAGCACAATATGGTAGCCATCACTAAACCATTTTGTACATCACTAATACTGAAGAGGATGAGAAAGTAACTGGGAGTTCACAGCTCCTATAGTCTTTGTGGGCACCAGGAAAAGACCAAAAGAAAATAGCTCTCTTTTATGCAAGGAAAGATTATCCCACCCCACCATCTCATATCATTCCAGTTCCTCCCATCCTTTTTGAGAATTTGCAACAGCTTGACCTCCATCCCATTGATGAAACAGAGTAGATGCAGAGTCCAAAAGGCACTAATAGATAGCACTCACTAACATAGCAAGGTCTGAACCCTGGCAACAAAGGTAAGACTTCTGTTATTGAGGTTTCAGTTGCCCCTGTAGGAATTAACAACATTTCCATTGATACTAACAGGAGTATTTTATATGAACTATTAGAACAGACTTCTGCAAGTTTGAGAGATGTGTCTTTGTCTTCACATTTTGTGACTGTTTCCTCGGAGATGTTCCCCTGTCCTTTCAAACCTTCAGAGCTCTGCTTAGGAATGCACACTGCATGCTTTGGTGGGGCTGCTGACTGTACAGTTGCTGTACTCCCAAAGGGAAAACGAGTGTTTTTAAAATTGACATGTGAGACAATAAGGGCTAGCTATAAGTAATGGGTAACTAGAGATGAGTGGAAGGGATTACTATGGCATTTCTGTCAATCACCCTTTGGGGTATATTTTTGGTTTATGTGACATTGCATCTATCACGTTTTCTCTCTCCAGCCATTCGCTTTCACCATAGACTTTCAGAAAATCTGAAGTCAATCAATATAGACATGATAAATTACGATATATGCATGCTTGCCATTCACACACTGCCACTTATACACGAATTCCTTGGTTTACTTTTCAGAATGAGGTAGATATTAGAAAAGTATCTTTAAACGCCTCCAAAATGAGAAAGAAACTAGAAAAGGCAAAGGGAAAACATCCTGAAAGAGATTTTGCAGCTGCCAGCCACTGTAGTTGTAATACTTGCTGTGAAGACAAGAGCTCCTATGAAGTACTCCATATATTTGTTTGATAAATAGCCAAAATTTCCAAGGAGTTCTTTAGAAGTGTACTTAAAAACCTGCATGCAGAGTTTACTGTACTCCTCATACCTGCTCCCCTACCACATACCCATCAATTGAACTACCTTTTTTTTTTTTTGCATGCAGATCGGGTAAGTATATATATAACTGTCCCTTTGCACCTGCATATCTAGTGACAGCTCTCATATCCGTAAGTCAGTGAACCCAAACACCATTTTACAATTCCCTAATCCCCTTTTGAATGTGCAGTCCACTTAATTAATTATATGCTGAACTACCTTCAGATAGATAGCCCTCATAACATCAGATTTTCTTTCATATGCACTCCTTATAACCCCTTCTGAAAATTTGACCTTTTGAGTCAACTACAACGTGATTCTGCCCAAAAACGTACTAAATGTTGAGAATGGTTCCGTTTTCCTTAATGGTGACTATAATTGGCTTTCCCCTTTTCTCTTTTTAATTTTTTCCCTTCCATGCTGTATTGCTTTGCACTGACTGTGATTGCATGTTGCACCCTGGTGTATTCGTCATTGTGATGTCACATGGCTTGTTGCTGTGATACCTACCACGCCCCATTTCATCGTATATGTCATGGTTGCATAAATGCTCCACCCTCCTGTGTGTTGCTTCCATGGTTTCCAACTGAAAGTACCCATGATGCACGGTGCTACACCTACCACTGTGTCTGCAGCAACAACACCTGCCACCAGCGTTCCCTTCGCTGCAACAGCTACAGGCAATCAGGTTTGACCATTTATTTCACCTGTTCAGACCTAGATAACTACAATGTGTTGGTAAGGTACAGTATATGCTTTTTGGTTTGATGAGAAACATTGGTTCATATTTGTACGTGTTTCTTAAGCAATTGTTACATTTAGAAGTTTTATTTGTGTGTACATACTAGAGTGCTGTGTGTGCTTTGCTATTCGTCAAGAGGTTAATCAGCAGAGTTTTGCTCATTTTTAATCAGTTACCAGATGTCACTCTTGATATTCTATATCAGATTATCGCTACCAAATCAATCCTCAAATATGTATACTAAATATTTCTTAAATGCTTTCTCATTGGTCAAAAGAAAATTTTATTTTATTTTACTGCCATTTTTGGTTTTGGGGTTTGAACTTTGACTTATCACAATCATCCCCCTTATTTTCAGATCCATTGGAAAGAAAGCAAGATACCATATTTCTTTCCAAAACACAGATATCCTTATTATTCCCCAGTGATTACAACATAAATTCCTTCTCATGGACATTAGATGTGCTTATGTTGTTGAGATACTAATTTGCTTTAGACATTCCCAGGCAGAGTCACAAGGCAAATTACAAGTTTTGGGGGAGTTTCGAAATTATAAGGAGATACATACAGTAATTATTATATAATATTGTGGCCATTTTGGCTTATTAAAGTGGTAACTGTGTTTATAGACTATAAGTTCCACTGTCATTTAAATTATAAGTATGATAGCCATACTGAGTGATTAATTCATTGAGGAAACAACCCACTTTCTAATCTGTGCCTTATTTAGTAAAAATAGTTAACATGTCTGAATTTTTATGAAATTAATTATGGTTATTACTTGCCATGCCCAGGCAGTGAATAAAATAATCAGAATTCTCTCAAGAAACTATTTTAATCTACAATCTTTTTTACTACTATAGATACCCCAATTATCAATAGATGAACTGAATAGCAGCATGTTTGTTTCACAGATGTAGAAGTTACCGGTAGAACAGTAAGTTTCTTTAAGTATTAATATAAATAATATTTATAGGCTATACATTTTATATACACATTTGATAAAGGCTTTGGTAAATATTTTCATTAATAGACATTGTTGGTAACTTAGAGCTTCATTTACACATTTTTAAATTTCCAAATTTAAATTTGAGAGCAAATATGCAATTTTTAAATATGGAAATGACAGCTGGTACTGTATTTTCCCAATGAGCTTACAAATTCTGAAATGTTTTCTTATTATTAAAGGAATATGGTTTGTTAGCCAAAGGCACAGACAGATCACTTTTAAATTTTAATTTGTTACAATTTCATAGCTTCTTTATTTTATTGAGGTTAAAGCAGTTTTTGTAAGCAATGTGCTTCGATAAAATTGCAGAAAATATTGCTTTTACAGTCTGCTGCATTGTGTTGCTTCTTATGTAAGTCAATCAGAATTACGTTAGCTGTTTTGAATTTTGAGTGAAAAATCATTACATAACTTAGTAATTTAATCATTATGTTTATTTGAATGTCTTTTGTAAAAATTGTTGTTGTTATTGGATTTTCCCCCCTTCACCCTTTATGTTCTCATTGCCTGGTTCCCATAGTGGCACATACTTAATTTGAACAATCGTTCACTTGGAACTTGTGACTTTTGAAGCCACTTAAGACTCCTAAGTATCTTAATGAATTCTAGGGACTTAGTAATATAGTGTACCAACTGTGCATTGCATTCCTTAGTCATTAAAAGTTGGAAGTTCTCACACCTGGAGTGTATCATGCTCCCTAATGGACTAGTTCTCCAGGTCCCAGCTAGGCCTTCTTTCCTACTGAAGACAAACAGGCCAAGAACACTATTACGGACAGAGCTGACTGTACGTTAAATAAATAGGTCCCCTCAATCATAAGGAACATTATAAAAATACACCTTTGAGTATGTGGGATAACCAAAGAAACTATAAGTTGTAGTTTTCAGGGGTCATTTGGGATAGTGGCAACTTGAGAACAGCACAAGCATGAGGATGTAGGTTTTGCCAATACTTGCCCAATTCTCATGGGCTGTTTCCCATCAAAGTAAACAAAAGTTGTCAAATATAATTAACTTTCCAACAGAACATGTTTGGGACAAATGATTTATTTTTGCTTGATTCCATTAGAAAATGTAAAGGTGTTTGGAAGAACACAATCACGTCAATACGCAATAGGTGTTGAAAATTTCTCCAAAGTTCAAAAGTGTAATTTTGTACAATACTACATACCTAGATTTCACACTTGGCTATTTCTTTATGACTTTTAAACATTCAGATAAAAGGTTTAAAGTTTAATATTTGCACATTTCAAAATGTTTGGTATCAAACATGTTTGCTCAATGCATGCCAATTGAAGGAGATGGACACATGAGTGGTTATTTAACAAAAAGTTTTGGTATTGACTAGATAATGCCAAACAATGGAGTGCATCTCTGTTAATTTTGGACAGTTTCCACATTAGAACCATAGACTATCATAGTTCTATACCTCTTTCATGATTGTTCCTAATAGTCCCTTTTGAATCTGATATTCAGAGTGGGGAATATCTTGGTACAGTTCACACACAGAACTGGAATAAGACCTACACTCTCCTGTCTCGTAGATCAATAACCCTGCAGATTTTCTCAATCTTTATTTCTCCTCTCTCTCTCTCTTTTTTTTTTTTTCCATTTCAGTCGAAATTCTGAACGGCAGAGTTATGGAGAATCGGAATCTCGCTGTAAGAACCTCCATATGGCCTGTCTATATATATTCTCATATGTCCTCTTCTACCAACACAACAATAAGCATGGTGCCATCAACATATTAAACAAAGCAAAAATACCAGCCAACAAACATACCAACCATCAAATAAAAAATAAAGCATTAAGAATCAATGCAAATGTTGAAAAAATTAATAGAAAAGTAACAACTACCATTCATCTTATTTGAATTATTAAGTAGAACATGATCATAAGATTTTGTAACTTGTTACATTACTCTTTGTGATTTCCTAATAACCATGCTAAGTGAACTTCATAGTGAACTGTTGGCTTATTATATACGCTTGGTGGATAAATGTTCTGTTTTTGAAGTGTTACCTTACTATTTTGTTTACAAGGTAGTCTATTGGGTTGATTTAGAATGTAACAAATATATCCAGTACTATTCTTCCCTGTTATTATATTGTATTGTGTTGTGTTGTGTTAGGTTTTTACATATTGTAGTGTTTTACTATATATATGTGATGTTTGATTTCAATTAAAATGTTTTCAGTAGGGAACAGAAGAATATGTGCTTGAAAACATGACAGGTTCATGTTTTCAATATGCTGTCTTTCTTTAGAATATTTCTGTAGGTCTCTTGGCACAGACATTTAAAAGGCCTCACTTTTGAATGTGCACAAAACCTGTTCATTAACATGCATGTGTATAATTTGTACCTGCAGATCTGACATTGCCTAATACAATCAAATTAATAGATTTTTTTGAGACAGAAATAATCGTCTGCACAAAGTAGGGAACTTCTTAAAACATTAACCCCTAATTCACTCTTGTTAAATAGCTTGGAAAATAAGAATTTACCTTTAATTGAACTTCTCAGCATTTATACTAAAAATTATGTAAAGCACTCATTACATGTTTTTGTGGCTCAAGGATCCTGTCTCCTAGATTGAGTGTCTAAAACTGAGCCATCTGTCATCTTCAGCTGAGAAAATGGTACTTGGGGGTGTAAAGGTATGCTAATTACAAGTTATAAATCAAAAGAGTGATGGGGGTGTGGAGATAGTTTTTATATACTGGAGGAAAGTGTGTAAAACCATGGCTATGTCACCTTTTACACAAGTGCCATTTTCCAAATGCAAATGGCTCGTGCTATTTAGACTAGTTTTTGAATAATAAGTATGATGCAATCTAGCAAAAGGCAGTCAGGGTGAAAGAGAATTGGTTCCAAATGGGGGCTTTCCTCCCTAAATGGACAATCTTCTCTGCTGATCACAGAGGAAGCCTGAGTACAGGTTTGGAGAAATGGCAGGGACAGGGGGCAGGGAAGCACTTCAAATTATTCTTTGATTTATTCAAAAGAACTAGAGAAGATGTCCACAGTTATCTTTAGCTTTGGTTCAACTGTTTCCGGTTTTATCAAACACTTCAGTGAAGGAGCAAGCACCTGTGATGGATGGCAAGTGTTTCCTTGCCCAAACTTGAACATCAGAGTCTCTTGCATTATAACCAAGCCTCTTTGTATGGATTCATTTGCCTTTATATATGTTTAAGATTATGATAGGGAAGGTTTTGGCATCCTTTGCATAAGACATAGTGACTATATTTAACAGAGTTCAGCTGAATTTACATTACTAACACTTATGAAATAATTTTACAACCAAGTAAAATAGTAATTGAGGAATTCCTGGTGTGTGACATACCTCCTCCACTCTACTCAGTTATTAATGTTACTATTATTATACAGTGGTAGAAACATATTTTACATCAACTTAGATAGTTTTAATATTTGCTAGCAAATACAGAGGGTGCCAAATATATATATACACACACATTTTAAGAAAGGAAAAAGTCGTATTAAAATTGTAATCTCAATAAGATGAATACAAGTCATGTTTGACTTCTGCACTTACAAGAGGTACTCAGAGTGGTTACCATTAATGTCCAGACAATTCTGATTAAAGTGAACGTCTCTTAACCTCTCTCAAAATGTGTATGCATTTTTTGGCCCTCCCAGTATATATTCTTCCACTGGAAACTATAAAACCATCAAATTTGATATATATAAACAGGTTGTTTTTCTCCTTCATGAAAATGACAAGCAGAGAGAAAATCTGATTTCTGATACCTTAACCTGGCTAGTAGTGTTTGAATCACAGAACAATGGAGTTGGCAAAAACCTTTTCACAGTTGATGAAACTAAGGCCCAGGGCATATGATTTGCCCAAGGCTACCTAGCCACTGCAGGACCCAGAAATATCTCCTGACTCCCACTGTTCCTCTTTTTCACATTGTTTGTGCTTCAGAACATTTGAGACTATCTGAGAACAGATTAGTTTGGCTCAGAATACTACAAGAGAGCAAAATTAGCTGTTTGGTAGTTGATATCCTGTTGATCTTAATTATCCATCTAAAGCCCAATCAACAGTGATTTCTAAACAGTCTTTCTTGTATTGAGACACTGTCATCTGTAAATAGTGTTGCCTGGAGTTAGAGATGAAGAGTTGTCTTGACTTTTACCTGTGAACTCTTTGGACCACTTAATTTCTGTTTCCTGAAATCTTAGCATTGCTATAGAAGAAAGTAGAGTGTACCTTTTTGAAATTCCTTGTGTATGGAACTGAGTTTTGTGTAATTTGTGCCAGTGCCTCTCCAGAAGGACAGATCTGACGACAAGAATCCAGAAAGGATAGATGCACTTGAGCTAGTCTGTATGTAGTCCTGAAAGGAGACGAGAACATTTTTTGTGCAAAATGAACTTCTGTGTAGTTTGATATTTTCATACAACGTACTATCTCATTTAACTTTTTCAACTTTTGGCAAAGATGTACAAAGACCATTTAACAATAAACCTAGAGCACAGCTGTTTTCATGTTGCATTAAGCACTGGAAGACATTAATAATGACTTATTTTTTTAGTAAAAGGTTCAATGAGGGATATTCAGGGTAGTTGTATTTTTGGTGCCACAGTTTTCTATATTGTTGGCATTTTAAAATTTGCTTTATAACTGAAGTTAAAGAAAGAAAGCTCAAAGCCCTAAAGTTTTGATGAAGTTCAACAGAGTTTTGAGAAAAAATGCAATTTTAAGATAGCACTCTTTAAACTAGTTGTGCAATGACTTATTCAAATTATCTTTATTCAAGAAAAGAAGATAAGTCATTAGACTATAAATTTCCAGTTAAAAAGACAAGTCACAAAACTAATCAGTGACTCTAAACAAAAATTTACTGGATTAACTGTATATATAAAATTCTAACCACTCGTGATTCTTAGTTAACATTTTATAAGCTTTGTACTTTATAAGGGCCACTATTTTTATTTATCCAAAATTATTGTTTTTGTCCATTTCTCTCAGCCTTTTGCAAAAATATGCAAGAGTGCTGAAACTTGGATAAAACGGGTCATGTATACAGAGAAAATAATCTAAAAGTTATCTTTTAAGAGGGTTTTAGTAGTATCAGTTTTTTAATAAAAAGCACTATGTGACCGTAACGTAAGTATATTTTAGAGAGGGATTAAAATTAAATTTAAATAAATGGATTCATAAAATTGCTTATTTAAATACAGTATTTACTTTTGCAATTGGAGCATGTTTCCACAATCAACTGTTGCATTTCATTTCACTTTTCTAGATTAGAGTCTTTTAATTTGCAGTTAATCATTATGTGGAAAATCATCTTCTCCCTACTCCATCAGTCTTCTCCATTCATTTTTGAACATGCTAAGCACTTTGATCTTGCCATAAGTGTTGTCCTACTCCACGTGGCTGTGTCCACTAATGGGAGGCCTCAGCTCACCTGCTCTCCAATTTGGAAAAAAGCAAGTACCTCCTCCCTGCTATCAGCAGGAACCAAGTGAAATTAAAATGCACAACTTGAATCTGTTTTAACTGACATTTCCAACAAACATAGTGACATCAATAAAAAATAACACTTACATTGTATTTTACTAAATTAGAGAAAAGGCTCATGTGCTACTTGAAACGTTATTTGGTTATTTCCCCCCTCTTTGGAGAGTGTAGATGAGGATTCTCTTAGGTAAAGAGCCGCAAGTTTTCTAAGTTCCTTTGTTCTGCAGGGTAGACTGTGAAGCATTGAATGATTAGAAACTGGAGTCCTCATTCTTTTTCTCTCTCTCATACATTCCACACACATTGAAATAGAAGTTGGTAAAATTTATGAGGGAAGTTCAATTTCCCAATTCTGATGAATAGATTTAATAAGATAGTGGCCTAATTTTACCAAATGCCTGTCAAAGGCAATAGAATAAACAGCATTTCCAAAAGTATAACAACTTTCTTTTGCAAATTTAGTTGATAGCCTAATCAAACTGTAAATATAACTACAAATATAGGTTCTGAGCACCAACTCACTAAGTGGTGCCATGTTTTCATTTTTCTTAGTGTTAGTTTTTAAGGTTTTTATTTTATTACTTTTTTATATATCTAAGTAACTAATGGATTTCATTTTGAAGGAGAGTTAGAGAAAGTTTAAGTTTTTACTACACGTATTCAGCCTGCCTAGATAGGTTCTAAACTGACACTGAAGCATTACAAGATAGAGATTATAGTTCAAAACTGTTCGTTACAACTCACAGTTTAAGAACAAATTTAACTTTATATGCAAATAATAATTGTTAACTAATTATATTTAGTTGTTGCTTTGGCAACAAACTACAACATGGCTACCTTTAGAAATTTTTTTGTGTGTGAAAATTTTACTTGTAAACTACACATGGTTTGTGACAGTATAAGCATGCTATAAGATACAGCTGAAAACTCAAAAAACAAATATGTTTGAATTTTTTCAATCCTAAAGCCCCATGTTTGAAAGCTGAATATGTGTCCTTGTGTGACTTTTTGGTCAAAAAGTTTACAACACATGGATTCTAGAATCAGCTTTATAGTTTATAGAATTTGTTGTGTGGATAGGATTATTCCACAGTATTTACATTTCAAACATAATCAATGCATTTATAATACAGTACCTGACATTTAAGAAATATCTTTATTCAAAATTATCCCACTCAAGTGCATAGCTGTAGCTGCAACAATTCTGTTTTCTGGAATTACGTACACAAACGTATTTCTATGAGGATTAAAGCATGACTAAAGCCTATTTTGAAATTAATTCTTAATTTTAAAATCATACACAAAGATACTGTGGAATGACCCCTTAACAGTGTTTAAGAAACATATGCTGCAGTTAACTGATCGTCTCAGTTAGGGTGCGAATGTGTGAGACACACCTTTTTTGCACTTATGTACATAGTCCATGAAAGCAATTCTTGGAGCTTTTTTTTTAAAAAAAAAATGTAAGAAGTCTTTGATAATAGTGGAAAAGTTAGTAAGAGAGTTTTTCTAAGGCTTTGAGAAAAGGGGTGTTTTTGCTATAAGACTTAACAAAAGCATGATGTTGCTTTGCTGTTGTGGAGGCTTTGTAATTTGCTACAGCTCACCAAAAGAGAAGGTTAGGAACAGGTTACAGGTCAACTTCAGCTAACAGCACTGAACAAGAGTAAAAGTACTTCATCTTTTAGCGAGACCACTAGCAACGATTGTTTACTTTTAAAATTAATCCTCAGTGTAAACACACACACACCCGGCAGGTTTCTCACAGAGGTTTTCTTTTTTCATTGGTTGCAAGCAGTGAAATACCCTGAAAATTACAAGATAGATATTCCCATTATGATTGAATCAGATTTCATCTTTCACAGAAAAGGATCAGCTAATATATGTCAGCTAATATGTATACCAGCTGATATGTATTTAACTGACAATCAAATTGTTAACGTTGTTGACTACTATTCTTGCTTTAAGATCAAGTAACCAAAACCAAATTGGCAACCATTGTAAGATTTCATTTAACAGTTAATTATGGCCAGAATAGGGCAGTTCATCCCCTTCAACAAAGGAAAAAAATGCTCCTGGCACAACTTTATAAATGGCATTATTTACATTATACCTGTTCAGTGGAAGCTGTTTTCTGACCTACCTTTGCCAGATTATAAAGTACTTCACTGTGCCACTTCAGCCTCCCACTGTTTTGTTTCAACTAAACAGAAGAGAACCAGCCAAAATCTTACATAACGTAAGAGCTGGAAGAGAATGTTTCAATCTGACCATCTCTGCCAATTTTAGCTCCCACAACACCTACTTAACTATCTTGTTGCCCCCAGGCAATGAGGCCTAGAACCGGCTGAGGTTAGAAAGGTTAAGTATCTGATCATCGCAAGTACTTTGAATCCTTCAAATCTTGGGACACGTTGCTGTTTGCCCTAGAGGAGCCCATCCTGGGGTTGGTGGAGTTGGTATTGGTATTGCTACCCATTTTGATAGCTCTCATTTACAGAGAAAGAAGACTAAGCCAAAGCCGGAAAGCATTCCAAGCCTTACAGTTGTCCAATAGCTCAGGGCAAGTTGGCTAGAATTTTTTTTTTCCTTCAGCCTACAATCGCTTAGAGTCAGCCTTACAACAAGCAGCCTGACAATCTAACCAGCATTTTCACT